ACAAGGTCATGGGTTCAATCCCCTATGTGGGCCATCCAGCTCTTGTTGGACTCGATAGTCCTTGTGGGTCCCTTCCAACTCAGAATATTCTGTAAATTTCCAGAATCACTCCTTTCCCTTTGCCCTCTTTTAAAGCACCATCCTGGGATGTTTGTTAAGGTAGCAGTCAGTATCTAACAACAAGAATTTGTTAAGGACAGGCTGGAATTCCAGCTCTGCCTGCCTCTTTGCACCATGGGAGCTGATGATCTACACTCCAGGCTCTGGCTCTAGCTGTGGTGAGTGTAGGAGTGCCCTGGTAACATCTGCGTTTGCTAGTGTGGAGGAAGCACAGCTTTCTGGGCCATTTGTGAGGAGTGTTCCTAATGAGGCTGTGCTTTCACGGTTGCATAAACAACTATGATAGACTGCCAAAAGGGCAATCCTGCATCCTTCCCTTGTTCCCACTGCATGTTCCCACTGTCTGCTTGTACAGGCACGATCATATGGCTGTAAGGCAGATCAGGAAACATGTATTTAAAACAATTTATGCATTTGCTCAGTTTAGCTTCAGGTTTTATATTGGAAGTTTATATTGTCTGGCCAAGAAATGGACTGGAGTGAAAAACCTAAGGGTGAAGAGGAAGAGAAAGTGATGGTGGCTTTTTTGGGAGGAGCCAGGATCTAGATAAGCTTAAATTGATTCTTACAGCACTCATCTGATACAGGCTTATTCTTTTTGCAAAGGTACTATCTCATTCTTCATTGCTGTAAGAATATTGTAGCAAATCCATACTCCTCTGGAGTCTTCATCACTAACTAATGTGGTAAACAGCAATAAGACAGCAAGGAGTGGAAATCACATAATTTTGCTCCAAAATTAACTAGTTTGCTCTTGCAGGTTGAGTTTACTTTAGTAACAATAAAGGACCTAACAATATAGAACCTAGGTCATTTATTTTGTGTGACTAAACCAGTTTTCTTGAGCAAGCTCTACACAAGTATTCTAGTGCATATATTACGTGGGATGACCTCTCCAGTACCGTTGCCTAGAGGGCAGAGTGGGATGTTACAGGGTTTTTTGTAGGAGACATCATGCTGTTACATAGCTTCTGGAACAGGTTGGAGGGGACTGTAATGTCCTGAATCATAGTGTGCTTTCTCATTGTCCTTAGTAAACAGGAAGCATCTCTGTTTTTTACTTGGTCTCCTGACAGTTTATTGCACTCTTAAGACTTGCCTGTACATCTGTGGTATTGCCAAACTACGTGAGCAGCCAACCCTCAGGGACAATTTCTGCATTAGCAGCCCACCTCATCACTATGACAGCTACTATGAGCTAGTTGCTGAACTAGCCAGCCCAAGAGAGTCCCCAGAATCAGGATCTTCATGTAGACTGACTTGTAAAACCTTTATGGATGAGAGATGTTTCGGAAATGCTTGTTGCTTAGGGTTACTTTTATGAGAGGTTACTGAGATCTGAAAAATGTAAAGACCCCTTTGAAAAAAGCTAGTTGTGACAGGTATAATTACTGTGATAGTTTTATAGGGGAAAAAGGATTGAGCAGGTACTCTGGTAACAGACTGTAAGATTTAAAATAATGTCTTTGTGTTTAGTCTCATTTTTGCAGACATAGATTACACAATCTTGATAACAGGTGTACCTAGTGGGTATTTTTCATGAACCTGTGAGTGATCAATAAAAAAACTTTATGAATAACCCTATTTTTTAAAATTGAGAGTGAATTCTGGGAGAGCAAATTCGAAGCTTGAAAACCTGACTTGAGCCTATGCCAGAAATGCTAGTGAGGTATTTTTTTTCCCAGAAAAATAAAATTACATAAGATTTTACTGAGTTTGTAGAGAGGATTAGCTTACTGCTCCTTCCATTTAAAAATTCAGAATCTTGATTTTTTTTCACTGCCTTTATTATATTTAAGAGAAACATAAAAAAGCACTTGAAAATGCAGCATAAACCAGGAAGCCTATATTTCACCACATTTTGTATTGTTTAATAGAACTAATCACTGCATAATTGAAATCATGCTAATATTCACTTGACCTACCTCTGTGATTCAATACAGGGACCTCTGATTTGTTCTAAACTGCTGGAAAGAAGACTGCATTTTGAGAAATAAAATTGATTTTGCACTATCTGCTGATGATCAGCAAGGCTTAATGAACAATTACCTCAAGAAACCTCATTAAAGTTACTTGGGTGGATGAGCAGGAGTGAAATGCAAAAGGAGAAAACATAGTTGCTGTTTGAATGCATGAATGATATTTGACTCTAAAACTATCCAAAGCTAACATAGGGAAAGGATCAGATATTCTTGCCTTACTTTCCTTGAAACCTCCAAGTTAGTTTGATGCCTTTTGGGAAAAATAGGGTAAGTTTTTGATTTTAATAATAGCTACTCTCTAGCAGAACAATGCAGTCATTTCATTCCTAGTGGTGTCATTGTATCCACTTTATAAATTGTGGGGATTCCAATCCGTTAGTGTACATTTTTTTCATGACTATTTAAAGAACTCATTGCCTTGAGGCTGTGAATTGTGTGATTGCTGAAGCCCTTTACTTATGTAGAATTTACCGGTGAGCTCCTTAGCACACGTGAGAGTCTTCTAGTCATCCTGGTTTCAGCTGTTCACATCAGAAAGCTTCTCTGCAACTGACACAGCGTGGTATTCATTTAAGAGAGACTCGGGAATAAAGTAGGTGGGAGGCAGCAGAAAAGCAAAATGAAATTAAAAATACCAAAACCTTGGTAGGTTGAGATAAGTTTTTGAACACTATTGTACTGTTCATTCTAACCATATGTTCAGTTTCAGGGATAGTAGATGTTCTCCAAATACCATCCTCTGTGCTTGCTTTCATTTAGGGTGATGCTATAGCGCCCTGAGGTTCTTCAAACTAATTGAAAACGGGGGACAGGTAGTTTCAGCTGCCAGTCTCTCCTCTCTATTGTTTGAGTGAATGGCTGTTTTTCTGACAGAACCTAAGCTGTCATTAGGACCTAGCTGATTTTTCTGCTCCATGAGGAGATGGTTCTGTAGACCTCAATAACAGCTGTGCAAGGGAAAATCTGGAGTGAAGTTTCCTAAGTTCTGTAGGAAGTAGAGGCTGCACGGCAGAGTAAGAATTGAGATGTGTAATTTTGGTGCCACCTGATCTGGGTACTCAGTCTCAGGCTGCTGATCCAGTGGTTGTAGAGCATGGCATTCACTGAGAAAACTGTCTCGGCTTGGTTAAGGATACAACTATTCCGCCAAATTGCATATTAATTTTCTAGTTTCCTAGAGCATTTTAGGATGAAGTAATCTCAGCTTTATTGTCAGCCCTCCACTGATCTGTTTTCAAGTCATTTAAACTCCTGGTGCCCCTTTTTTTTTAATCTGTTATTGGGAATAATATTTGTTTGCTTTTCCTCATGGGAGTATTGTTAAGTTTATTTCATTAGTGTTTATAAGGGGCTTGGAGATCCTAGACACCAGATGCCAAAGAAAAACAAAAGTTTGTTATTAACATTTTCTTAATTAAATATATATATATAATTCTACAGTAGCCTTACAAATCACTGTGTTATTTCATATAATAAAATTACCTTAAACAATGATTTTAATAATTTAACCATAATGATGAATAGAAGACATTGCTTCCCTCTCAAACCACTGGAATACATAAATCACTCTGAGAGTCTGGTGAATTATATTCTGCTTGGTCAGTCCACAGAGGGATTAATGCTGATTTGATTTTTGTAAAACATCAGAAAACTTAAACTTTAGGTCATGTGGATATGCGTGTATTTTTATATCTTCAGAACATTAGTCTTCCTTACAAGCACGCAATCCAACAAAATTAGAGTTTTATATTTGAAATTATCCTTCATTTTCCTGCTGGGGTCTGAACAATTCTTTTTAGATCTTATATAACTTTAAAATCATGTTGGCAGCTTTTCCTTAGTGTCGTTGATTTGAAGTTTTGCTGAAGAATTAAGCTTTCATCCTCAAAATCCACTTCTTAATGCTATGTTAAATCAAGAGAGGAAACAGAGGAACACAGGCAAATCAAGCACTTAGTGTATAATGCATTTTTGCATCTTGATCATGTTTATGTATGCAAACTGATCATTTGCATTTTTTATTTATTTAAGTTACTACTCTGTGAGACAGTGTGCCTGTTATGTGTGTCCATGCCCTCTCCTGTGTTTTTCTGTTTACAGTAGTGTGGACCCATGTGTATCAAAAATTAATAGTATAAGTAACTGTTTAGGATCACACAGCTTTTATAAGTAAGGGGCAAGGTTAACTTCAGCAAACTTCACCGTGAGCTCTTTCAGGGCCATCACTTCCTGTAGAGTCTGGTTAAGTGATGAAGATCGGCTGGAAAGCTGTTGCCGTGTGACTCTCAAGTCAGAAAAGCCTCTGTGGGTTTCCCTTAGCTCTCATCATTTGTTCCCTTCTCGAGAGTGGTCCTCCCATGTGGCTGCCCCTTTCCACCATACTCCCCTGTCCTGTGTGTTGTCTCAGCATACACACACATGCCATTGTGATTTAACATGCTGTTCAAAATCTGGGTTAGTGGCTTTGATGGTACAGTGAGCAGTGCATCTGGAGAAGGATGGATTCAGTCCAGGTTTTGAATGTACAGATGTCTCAGTTGTTAAACGCAACATGCTAGTGAGTGTTGTTGCTGTTTCTGCACAGAAGGCAGGGGTTAAAAGACTGAACAACTTAAAATGAGGGAATGAACAGCACTGAGAGAAGATGGCACTTCTGTGACCCATATTACCTGAGGTCTTAAATTCCAGGCATAGATAATTGAAGTTTCTCCCTTTGTACTTAAAATTTCTCTGTCTGCTTGAATTTTTTGGGAACTGTGTAAAGTTCCACTGACAAGATCAAAACTTCACTACGAGGGAAGAAAAATTTGACTTTCTGCTGCCCATCTATGTGAATTAGGGACTCTTCAGTTGATTTGTTTTTTGCCTGCAGATACATATGGCTCTTCTCTTTCTATTGCAGAAGCAGCCTACTAAAGCAAATCCACCTGTTCGACTCTCAAGGTGAGGATCATGGGAGAACAACTGTTAGAGAACAGCATCCTTGATCGATTTATTAATAGCTATGAGCAGTCACATGAAGAGTTTCTAAATACATTCACCTGTCTTTTGAAAGGTATGTAACTTCCCAAATCTCCCCTTAGAAATCACAGACAGAAGGGAAGGTAAAAGGAGAAGCAGTAGTATCTAGTGTTTTTCTGCTTCTTACTTGCTTTGTGACCTTAGGCAAATCCTTGTGATGCTTTTGTTTCTCCGCTCAGCTGTGGGAACCCTAAGGACAACTTTCCTTAGATTGGTTCACAGACTGCTAAGGTAGGTCTGTACTGGTGGGTAACCACGTTTTGCTTGCTTTAGGGTGGTGAGGGAATTATCCTGTGGAAGGATAGATGTTTCATAAGTACATCCTGCACTGTTTTGCTTGAAAAGTTTCCATAAGAGAAGAGCCTAATTAAAATACTTAATAGTATGAGATGGCTGAGATTAGGGGTGTGCAAGACTTTCACAGGTTTACTAACACTAGCCTGCTGTGCTATGCCTGTGTGTTTACCTTCTACAATGTGATTGCCTTCTGGGATTAAACAACTACCTGGAGGGATGAGGGGAGAGCAGTGGATGTTGCCTACCTCAACTTCAGCAAGGCCTTCGACATCATCTCTCACAAAATCCTTGTAGACAAACTCAGGAAGTGTGGATTGGAGGAGTGGGCACTGAGGGGAATTGAGAACTGGCGGAACGGCAGAGCTTAGATGGTCACATTCAGTGACACAGGGTCTAGTTGGAGGCCTGTCACTAATGGTGTCCCCCAGGATACAATACTGGGACCAGTCTTGTTTAACTTATTCATTAATGACTTGGATAAAGGGGCAGATGCCTCCTCAGCAAGTGTACTGACAATACAAAGGTGGGAGGAGTGACTGATAACCCAGAGAGCTGTGTTGCCGTTCAGAAGAACCTTGACAGGTTGGAGAGATGACAGAGCAGAACAAAGGCAAGTGCAGGGTCCTGCATGTGGGAAAGAATAACCCCAAGCACCAGTACAGGCTGGGGGCCAACCTACTGGAAAGCAGCTCTGTGGGGAAAGACCTGGGGGTCCTGGTGGAAAACAAGCTGTCAATGAGTCAGCAGTGTGCTCTTGTGGCCAAGAAAGCCAGTGGTGCACTAAGAAGAGCATTGCCAACAGATTGAGGGGGTGATCCTGTCCCTCTAGTCAGCTCTGGTGAGGCTACATCTGAAGTACTGTGTCCAGTTCTGGACTCCTCAGTGCAAAAGAGGCATGGAGCTCCTGGTGTGGGTCCAGCAAGGGGTGACAGAGATGACTGAGGAACTGGAGCATCTCACTTAGGACAGGCTGAGGGAGCTGGGCCTGTCTAGCATCATGAAGAGATGACTGAGAGGGGACCTCATCAATGTATATAAGTATCTGAAGGGAAGATGTCAAGAAGATGGAACCAGGCTCTTCTCATTGGTGCCAAGCAATAGGATAAGAGGTAATAGGCAGAAACTGATGCACAGGAAGTTCCACCTGAATATGAGGAAGAAGTTCTTTACTGTGCAGGTGACTGAGCACTGGAACAGACTGGCCAGAGAGGTTGTGGTGTCTCCCTCACTGGAGATACTCAGATTCTATCTGGATGCAATCCTGCGGACTGTGCTCTAGGATGACCCTGTTTGAGCAGGGAGGTTGGACCAGATGACCCACTGTGGTCTCTTCCAGCCTAATCCAACTGTATCCATTCTGTGCCGAGCTAATAGGTAACTTGGATGAAGGCACATCAGATTAGATGATTGGGCTGAAAAGGTCTCATGCTCTGCAGATGAAATAAAAGGTGGTGCTTAACCTTGATCTCAGCATTGCTTAATTACAGGATTCGAATTCTGTAGTTCAGGTTTATTTCTTTTAGCCATGTTAAGTCCGGTGCCATAAAAATAAATACAAGCTACTCACAAATCTCTTTACCACCACTTTGCACTAAAAATGATGTTCTCATATTATTGCAGAATCACTGTATTTTTCAATTACATCATGTAGCATGCTCCATTGATTGGCATTCAGAGGTCTGTCCTGTCCTTGTCCTTCAGGCAGAACTAAGTGTCAGTCACAGGCACTGAACAGAAAACCATTGGGGGGGTGTTGAAGCTGCCACAGAAATAATCTTTTGGCAACTTTCTGTCTCTCCTCCCTATAAAAAATAGAAGAGCAAGGAGACACTGGGAAATGAGATAAGAAGATTGAAAATCCAGTTGTGGTCTTCTTATGTATGATTGATACACTGGGGATAGCTGCTGTTGTAGAAGCATGCTGCTTATCATGGTGCTATTTGCAAAAAGCTTCAGCATGTGTTTCAGTCACTTTCATTGTCACTATAGCATTTGCCACTAAAATTGTATAAAAGGTAGAGCTTTACCTGAATCAAATGCTTAGAAATGCAGGTATGATGGTATAAACTAAACAGCTCAGCTTGTTTTCCTCCTACCTTCATTTTCCTTTAAAAATATCCAAGGTGCTAGTTTGCATTATGAACTAATGACCTGCAAAAATTCCACTTAAAGCATAAGGCATTTTAGCATCAGAACAGTGCAAAATATTTTATAAAATATCACATTGTTAGTTTCTTAATTTTGCATTTGAAAAATAGTCATTTGACTTTAACTTTTTTTTTTAAAGCAACTTACCTGGTAATAGAATCCAGAAGTTTTCACTTTGGTATAATGAGATCAGATATTTACTGTGGAGATATATTTGTGGTTACTGTCAGGCAAAAAATCTTACTATTTTCAGATTACCTCTCTAAATTTGGCCTTGATAATGGTATTGACCCCCACACCAAATCTTTGTACAATGAGCATTAATGTGAGAATTTGCAGTTCTGCCTAATTAGATATGGAGATAGCTATTTGTATACACAAATAACCAAGCATAAATATATAGGAGGTCTTTAAAAAAAATCCTTGGAAAACATTGTCATCTGATAGATTTTTTTTTTGTCATAAACACACAAAACTAATTGGATCCCATTGATTTCACAGGGTAACAGATTTATAGAAGGTGATTTTCACTTGCTTATGAATTTGTCCTAGGTCTGTATTTGGGATTGCAAGGATATTTTCCCCAACATCTCCTAAGAATGTGATACCCTAACGATTGTTTAATTTTTCTTCATAAATTACATTTGCACACAGTAAAACTGTAAAGAATATATCTTGATATAAAGACCCAAGCATCCTTGACTGTTCTGGCCTAGCTTAAAAGAACTAAATAGCCTGGAGTGACCTGCTGTGAACACATTAGGATCTTCTACTTAGAGAATAGTTTCATTCTTATAAATATGGGAAAGAGTGTTAATGAATTTTTACATTCCTGACTTCCATTTGACTTTTCATGAATTGCTAATATCCTAATCAAGAAAATCACAGTTTTAGAATGTTTTTTTGGTATCTGAATGCATGACCCTTGACTACTTCCATTCTTCCTTGTGCTATATTTGAAAAGATATTCTCTTAGTTCATATAGAACAAGATCTGGAGTCAAAATAAGTCCTTCTAAAATCTGTATAATAGATATCATGACATGTGTATGGTGTAATTATCACACAGATAAGTTGTAACTTAGTTGGACCATAAAATTATATCTTTGATATGGGAATTTAATCTTCTTGATTAAAATTCCAAAAAATCCCAGTGATTTTGTTCCTTAAATTGTGCTTGCTGCAGTGAGAGAATGAGAGTTCATAGACTAATTGACAAGTAAATCCTATAGTAAGACTTTTACATCTACAGATCTGATGGAACATGGATAAACATACATAAATGTATTTTTAAAAGTCTGACCTCAGCATTTAAAACATATATGCTCCAACAGAACATGACCTATATATCTTGAATACATAATATTTAAAAAGCACTTCCTCCGTAAGTGGAAAATTTTTAACCCTCTTTTTATTGATTCTATAATGGATGGACAGTTGAGGGCTAGGTTAAGATTCTAGTTAAGTCTCTTATTTTTCCTACTCATACCATCCAAAGTGTGCTTTTTGTCATTTGGATAATAACAAGGTGAATAGATAGGTGAAAGGGCTGGTGAATCCTTGGGAATATAATTTAGCAATTAAAGCACAGATTCAGAAAGATGAAATTTTTCATGCTCGCATTTTTCAAGCTTTGCAGAAGTTTTGCATCTGGAAAAAAAAAGACCTCCTCTTGTGGGAAGTCAGAGCAAAGATACTGGTAAGAGGAATAAGTGTTTTAGTTATTTATTTTAATACATTCATTTGTGCTGTTCTTAGAATCCCTAAACCCCCTTATGCTTATGCCAAGTTATATATTTACTTTTGTTAGTTTATTCTTTTAGCTTTGAGTATAAAAATAACCTGAAGATAAAACAGTCAATTGGCTTTTGTCTTGAGATTGCACAACTCCACTATGTTTTTTAAGTACGGAGAAAAATTTTAAGACTGATTTATTGATTGTGCAGTTGAAGAAACCTCAGAAGAGCTGGATTTACAAAAAAATGGATGATTCAGATTTCTGTAGATGTGGTCAATGAGTGGTATCTTCAGAACTACACATTTCCTAGAACAACTTTGGAGAACATCTCATGAAAATACACCCAACCCTACTTTCAAAAAAATTCCCACAGAGTACAAAAGAGTTCAAATCATAGGAAGAGTGTTTGAAATCTGGTGGAGAGAACTATGATGTCCAAAATTAGAAGGCAGCATCTGCTCATTTTTGTAAACTCAGAGGAAGAATGGGAAATTAACTGGAGCATAAAATATCTCATTTGACCATCTGAAAAAAAACTACAGAAAAAAAACCCCAAATCCTCCAGGCTTCAAATTCTTCATCTAGATTTTAAGTTACTCCTCTCCCACTTCTGAAAATACAGGTTTCTGGATCAGTCAGCTGCGTAGAAAAATGCTGCCATTAATAAAATTCTTACCCAAACCCAAGTTTAAATTTGTATTTTTTTCCATAGTCTTGGGCAGTTGACCACTGAAATTAAATTAATTCCATTCCTGCTGTTCATTTTACTCTGTTTCATATACCTCACACTGCCTGGCAGTGCACTGAAGTCCAAGGGCTTTGATCAGACCCATCTAAGCAAACGAAACCTTG